TATATATGTGTGTGTGCAAGACCTAAGCTCACCCGTGGATCTGGTGCAGGTGGGACGAGAACAGGAGGTTTCACGTGCCTTGGTTGCAACCTGTTCGTGGCTGAGCAGAGCTCGCGCCTCATTCATGTTTTGTACGTTCGTGTCTTTGATAATAACTTGTAGATTCCTCAAAACACGTCTCCCGTTGGTGTTTGCCAGTATTTTCACATACTCTGCATCCATTTTTCCCCTACATGATGCTCTTGCTTTCGCTGGAAGAAGTTGAGTCTTGCTGCCCTTAGATACAGCAGGATTTTTGAAGTGACTGTTTCCTTGAGCGTATTGCCAGATTTCCTTCACCATGACTTACTGTGATTTATATTCGAGTGCCAGCAAAGAAATTTTTCCTCCTGAGCGTGAGTCTCTCTTCCCTTAAACTGGACTTACGCAGGTGTGAGTTACTGCGGTGAGTTTAATTGTGGTAATCACGGGGATAAATCTGCCTTGTCTGCAAACCTGTCCCGCAGCTTTTGCAGGCGGAAGACATAAAGAGAACGGGTTTTGAAGACTTGTCGATAGCTTCGTAGTTACAGGGTGGAACAGTGTGTGTTCATGGAAGTAGGAAACCATGTGGCTTCTGCTGGTTTTAATGAAGTCAAATGAAGGGCCTGAGCCGTAAGGGGTTGAGATGTGTATGGGAGAGGGATTAGCAGAAGATTGCAGTACGCAGTGCTCAGCGCGCCGTGCTTGGATCACAAAATAGCCGCGCATAACGTGCAAATGGTAAACTCCTATATGACTTTGGTCTTAGTTGTGTTTTTGAAGAGGTAACGTCTCTCGTACATATACCGGATTTTCTCTTGATGCCTTTGAGCAGCGGCCTCAGCCAGATGAACGTCCCCGGAGCGCAGAGGGATAACGCCTCTGGCAAGAACTCCACGCAAAGGAAACGCGGCGGCAATTTGAGTCTTACAGCACAGTAATATGCCGAGTGTTTTATGCTTCGCCCCTTTTGGTATTTGTTTTTAAAGCATCAGGCCAGGTCTTCAGGCTCTCAAATGACATATTGGTGTGCTTTCTCTCTTCCTCACCAGGCTGGAATGATAAGAACTGATAAGGATGAATACTTCATTGAGCCTTTGGAAAGAGGAAAGCAAATGGAAGAGGAAAAGGGGCGAATCCACATGGTGTACAGGCGGTCAGCTGTAGTGCAGCACCCCACCGACGTGCTCCCGGACGTCCATACAGAAGGTACAGTACCCCTGTGTTCATTGGTTACACATCTGTTCCAGACGACTCTAGCCTACGGTAGCTTTTGAAAGAGGCAGTTTTGACTGCAAGGATGCGTTTCAATGTTTTGCTGAAACACGCCGTCAGTCACATAAGCGGTTTCTCTGCCGAGAGCAGCACACGCGTGCTTTCATCTAGGAGAAGAGAACTCGGCCACGAAGCGTTCTCATCGAGGAACGTTGCAAAAAGCTTGTTTTGTCCTTCTTTAAGCCAAGAGCAAAGTTTGTGCTGGTTGAAGTGGAAAACAAGTCTGAGCTCTGCATAAGTTGGTAAGATGTTACGGGACATGAGATGTTAATAGAAATACTCATATGACTTTAATGTTCTAAGGTGTTATTAAGGCTCGCCTGTCGCTGTTGAAAGTTCGAGTCCTGTTTCTTTCTCAGTAATAGCTAAATTGTGCCAATGACTGATGCTGGTTTCCTCCTCCTACTGGTTGCAGTTAATGCAGTTTGAAGGCAGTTGTCTTGATTGGATGTGTTTTGACATATCCAAGGGTTCCCCTCCGTCTTGAAAATAACGTGGTTGGTCCATCTGAGAATAATTATTGTGTTGTTTAATCCATTTGCTTGTACGTTTTTCCCCTCTTTTAACATTACACGAATCCTTACAAGCCAACGCAACGCGTAGTGACCGTTGAGGTTTTTGACGCTATGGGCTGAGGATGAAAGAGCAGCTCCGTTCCCTTTCAGTGCTTGGCCTTTTCTTCATCATCTCTCAGCTTCTCAAATTCCTATTTGTGTTCACATGTCCTTGGAACTTAAAAGGGTTTGAGAAGAATAAGAACAACTACGTGCAACATACAGAACTAGAATTAGACACAGTTACGAAACACAGAGGAATCAAGCAGTCCCTTGTTGTCAGTCCTCACGCACTGAAATTATTTGGCATGGTTTTGGAGTTTTCTCTCTGAAAAAGCAGGTAGGAATTGACAGCCGTTTCGAATAAAATCCTGTCAGGCTTTTATTAGTCTTTCAGAAGATAAGTCCGTGCTGCCGACTGCAGCGTGGGACAGCGGTATCGCAGCAGGCTTGGGGACCAGCAGCAGGCTGCACCGCGCAGGCTCGTTGACCTGGCTTTTCTCGGAGACCTGGGCTGCCAAAGGTACTTTGCTTCTGGTACCTCAACGAGGTCATTCAAATCCAGCTCACGCGTCTCTGTTGCGTGATTGACTGAACGGTGCGAAATAAGCCTTTGTGGTCGTGGCAATGGGCTCAGCGCCGTGTTTCTGCGTTGAGACCGCTTTGTCAGCAGGGCTGGCAGACTCAGACCGTGGTTAGACACGGCGCGTACTTGACGATGGACCTTCTGGGTCTGCTTCGGCCAATTTGGCATCTCTTTCCTTTACAATCTTTCATGTGCTCGCAGATTTTATTTCTACGTATTTTGAATCCATGGAAACCTTTGCAGATTTCAGGTAGCTGTGACACGGGGACGCTTAGCAGGAGCGTGCAATAGCTGAGGCAAATTATTCCGGAATTTCTAAATCCCGATTCATAATACATGAAGATTAGTGAGACATCGAAGTGACGAGTCCTGCCTCAGAATCTTTGAATGTCGTTTGGGATTTGGTCAGTCCTTTGAGGGCCTTAATGTCTGGAGCATCTTCCCATCTTCTCGTGCTTGGCCAGAGGGAGCAGTTAAGAACAGCAGCCGCCTTTTGGGAACTTACAGCCCTCTTTTCAGCTAGCGTCAAAGCCACGTGTCTGTAGCTGATTTATTGTTTATCAAGAAGTTCAGACCGAAAAGGCTTATTTCTTGTAGGTGGCTTTATTCCACCCTTTGGCAGAGGAGATCTGTTTCTATGATGCTGTGCGTTGTTATTTTAGCATTTGTCTGGAGGAGATCTGTGCGGTATGTAATACAGGTCGTCTCGGTAAGTGGAACCAAGAAGCAGAAAGGTGGATATGGATACCTTGAGGGCATTCTGCGAGAAAGGAGCGTCACGAAAGGAACCAGAACTTGATCAAACGTAGACAGGCTAAGGGAACTCGCTGCATCCCATGTGACTCTGTACAGCTTTTTATTGTAAATGGAAGTGGAGGGTGTGAGAGAAGAGAGGTGCTTGTGTCTGCCGCTTGATTACAAGGCTTGCCAGTCTCGTCCTGAAACAGCCGAATGTAGGGTGGTGTTCCTGGGAACGCTCCGAAGGCCGGCTGGCGCTCGAGAGAGCTCAGCTGCGCAGATCCTGGCTCCCCAACCTGTTCTACCCCGAACGAAAAGGAACAAACCTTTGGCTGTGGTCCAGCCCAGCAGTCTGCGTTCATGGTACGCTCTGGTAGGTGTTTTATTGATCTATCACGCGCGTATTTATATGAAACATTTCTGTATTTCAACTTGCGCGATGCAAAATCTGCCGATTAGGGAGCTCAACCCAGGCTCTGTCGCTTTATCGTACTTGCCGTGACTAGTATTTTAGCATTTATTTTCTATCACCTGCAAGGTAGTTCTCCTCCCTCCCCTTTCTTTCATAATTGGAAATGCACATTCAAAGAAAGCTGTTCACCCACTTTTTTTACCGCTGTGCTCACACCTAACTTGTTGATATGTTTTTAATTTAAAGCTCCTAGAGTAATAGCCGCAGATTTGGGTATAACTGACGTGTGTAACCATACCTAGCTGAAGGTGCTGGGTGATGCCAAGGTACAGTCCGGTCCTGTAGAACGTGCCGCTTCTCGTGGTAGGAAAAGGGCCATCTTATATACTTCCTAGATTGCTGCCATATTTAAGCTGAGCTCTATTCCCGTAGGACACCCAGACCATTCCATCCCAAAAGTTTGTATTCTTGGGTAAAACCTTACCTAACACGACAGAATTGCCGCTACAAAATAGGAAGCGTTGTATGGGGTTTTGGCTTCCATGTTTATGTGTTCTGGCACTACCTTGGTTTTGCTAATCAGTTGGGTCATTTGCTAATCTGCAAGGTCATTTACAGCATCAGGCGAGTGGTGCTTGCATGTCCGTATGTGTGCCCGCTGAGCTAAAACAAACGTGCAAGGCTTACTAAAGTTTGCTTTTACAGAAGATTTTTAACCTCCTTCCTAACGGACGTTATACCCAGGAAAATTCCTCTTGATTATTGCCTTGCCAAACAGTTCGATGTGCTAGGCAAACCGCTTCTTTGATACAGCTCGTTCTCAGTTTAAAAGCGGCCGGAGAACCTCTCAGCAGCCCGCGTGTACGAACACGGGCTGACCCCGGCAGAGGTAACGCCACGGCGCGCCCGCGCTGTTGGAGAATGCTGTGGATGGAGCAGCTGCTCTCCGTATCTTGAACTTTCTCCTGAGAGGGTTTCTTAAAATGTGTTAGATGAATTTTCTTTTAGAGGCGGGCTTCCATTGGTTTTGAATTCTTCTGCACTTGCCAGAGCGCTGTGAAACCTGGAAGTCTTTCTGATCTTTCCTGTTTTTCAAAGAAAAAACTTAGATGGAGGCTGGCGGATTTTCCCTCCTGGTTACTTTTCAGCTGGAGTGATTTCTTTGCTTTTAGCCACCTTTCGTTATCACTGATTAAGCCCAGTTGCTGACTGCTCCCCATCGGGTGAAGCCTGGTCTGTATCGTACTATTATCCTTATCAGATAAAGTAGGCTGAAGTCTTGTCTGCGCTGTCGTTGGGTTGTTCTGCCTTGGCTCAGATGAGGCGCAGCAAAGGAGTAAGTTACATTGCTATTAAGTCTTTGAGATGCTTTTTAAGATCCAAGCATGACTGAGGTTAAAGCAAGCTGCCGAGGCCCGTGGAGCCTGGGTAAACGTTTGGCCCGTGTGATGGGTTAACGTTGCGGCTCTTCTAACTGAAGAAATGGTAAGCATTAGTCGTGCGCGCAGGACATCTCTCTTGCTTGCTTTTGACGGTTTAAAGCTTTTACGCACATTTGAGTTCAAGAAATATATCTGGCTATTACACCACTGTGAAACGGTTTGCCGTGGTTAAGTAGGCTGCTACATAGAGATTGATTAAAACCTTTCTTGGTCTTCTCTGCCGCCGCTGCCCACCCCGTGCACCCGGCGCCCAGGCCAGAGGCAGAAACGCAGAGTAGGGTCTGCTGGGGGTTTAGAAGTTCAGCCGCCTATTTAGCCAACGCCGATGAGAATCCAAGGTTTGAGTAAGATGACAGATGACTCAACGAACTAGACGTTAAGATAAAAAAGTACTTAAAGTTGTCGTCGTCAGCGAGGCTGTTCTAAAAACTGGGAGACATTGTGTAAAAAAGCCTTCCTCCACAGTGCGACAGGACATACTGCCTTGAGTTCCCTCTGCGAGAAGTCAGGTTTATAAGATGCTATTGTCGTGAAAGCTTCCAACGCCAGCTATACGGCAGAAGCTTTCTGTCTGACAGGACATCTGGTATTCCAGCAGGATTTTATAACATTTGGGAATCTGTTGGACATTTTTCAAACGATGTGACAGAATGAGCATAGGACTTGTAAGTCAAAAAAACCTACTGTCTCAAGATCAAGGTTTTAGCAACGATCACAATGTGGTGGAGCGTTTGTTGGTTCAGGTACTCCTAGAAATAAGCACACACATACGATCAACTACTCTTTCTGTTTTGCTTTGTTGCGGTTATTTGTGATGAAGTTTGAGCGAGCTTTCTTAGCAGGGCGGGAACCAGAAGTCTGAGTTTCGGGAGAAGATATTGGGATGCCTCAAACTACGTGATAGCGCGGCTTTAGCCTTTCCACTTGTGCAGCAGCATAACCCTACCCGTGAAGCAGCACCCTGTGCTGATTCCTATTGATGGTATCCATGGCTATCTATAGCCTCTTTAGGGAATGACGGCATACGGCGTGCACTACCCTGTTGTTTTCCTCATTTGCTTTGTGCAGAGATTGCTTTCCTTACAAGTGCTTTACACGAAACACTCAAGAAATCGGATGGGAAATCCTGCCTCATTCATTTGAGGAATGCTGTAGGATTACAAGGCTGGTAACAGTTATGGATAGACCTGCGTGTCTGTGCT